TGTTTAAAATAAAATAAAAAATAAAAAGGTCCACCTTAATATTCCTAGCATTTACATTTGATACATTAAGTACTGCATTGAAAATGTCAACATAGCATGTGTTAAGGGAAAGTGCTGTGGGTTTTCTTTCAGACCTCTGCGCATATTTAGAAAATTACAGAGCATTGCACATATGGAAATACTGAGAGTGCCCTGGCATGATCCCCCAGGTATCTAAACCCTTGTCTTGTATTCTCTGTCTAAATATATTAACAGGACTGATAATGAGTTGGAATGTAGTTTTGCAGATATAAGTGGATTAAGGTCTCAGGATGCAGTGTGTAAGTACATCTTCCAAAGTAATAATGAAATGCATGGCCATTGAATAACCATCATTTATTACCAGGGTGTTAAACAAAATTGGAGAAGGGACACTTTTGCTTTCATTGTTCTGTTTTTCTTACAAATAATATCATTTTTTGTCTATTTCTTGTTTCGTTCGCTCTCTTTTTGTCTATTTTTGCCCTTCATTCAAATTATAATATAAATGCTGTCTGTGAGTATTCATGTCTAAGTGGCAAAATTTCAATAACAGAAATTATGAGAGAAGATTATTAAGAATATATATTTCATACTCATATCAAATCTTTAAAAGGGCAACTTTTTTGAAGCCAAATATTAGAAATCTGAAAAAGACAGCCAAGATTAACTGTCTAGGAGTGTTCTTATTTTTTCAAAGCAGTATCTAATTTACAAGGTATAAAAGCTAATCATAGGTGTAAATGCTTACAAAAACTAGAGGTAAATTTTACTGCAGTTCTAAATACCTTAGTTAAAGGCAAATCCTGCTGAGATCAGTTGGAGTTTCAAATAATATAGTTATGACTACTGGATAAATTTCAGTACTCTCAGTGTGATGTAGGGGTAGGGAATAGAACATCTCTAAATGTTCATAATTTTCTTGTAATTCAAAAAATGGCATAAGCCTTTGAAGCACAGTGGAACTACCAGAAGACTAGAGAAGAGCTGGAAAAGTTCCAATCTTTTAAAAAGAAAAAAAAAGTGGATTCAGGAAACTACTGACTAGTCAATTTGACAACAATACCTGGGAAAATCCTGAAACAGGTAATTAAGCAGTGGATTTGTGAGTCTCTAGAAATGAACAAGGCAATTAATAGAAGCCAGCATTGGTTTGTTAAGAACATATGCCAAACAAATCTTATTGCCTTGTTCAATAAATTAGTGGACCAAGGAAATGCTATGGCTATAGTATATTTAGACTTCAATAAGCCATTTGATAAAGTAGTTCTTACCTGCTTCCAGGTAAGAACAATGTGGGATAAACAGTACCATAACAAATTGATCTGTAATTGGCTGAACAACCACACTCAGTGTGTCCTCAATGGAACTACTTCTCCTTGGAGGGAAGCGTGCAGTATGGTATCTCAAGGTTCCGTTTTGGGTCCAGTGCTGTTAACATCTTCTTAAATGACCTAGATGAGGAGACTGAAGGAATTCTGATCAAATTTGTGGATGACTCAAAGCTGATGGGAATTGCTAATACTTCAGAAGANGACGGACCCCGGAGGAGGCCGACCCTGTGCGATCTAATGGGTCTTTGGGAGGTATTGGTTCTGTATTGTATTGGTTCTGAATACTTCCCAGTTCCTAATTTGTTTGAAAGTCAAAATATCCATCTTAATATACTGAAAATGAACCTAAATTTTATAGAATTTTTATCGAAAGCAAGCACAGACCTATCACATGTTGTATCATCATCAAGATCATTCTTAACCAATTGAGAGCTCCACTTTTGCACAAAGCACAGTAATGATAACTGATGCATATTATAATTTGCATCAACCAAGTTGTAGAATCATGCCTTTGTGCTAATTTATTTATTTTGTCTTAATTTATTTACATTTTTACTAAAATTGATGGAAACTGCTTCCAAACAATTCTGATGGCAATCACCATGACTGACATCAGAAATTTCTAGAGACGTATGGGAAAGATTACAATTATTCTATCCATAATTACCTGTCACTGAATATTAGCATATGGAAAAGCTTTCTAAAGCTCAGTTGATATTTTTTAAAATCAGACTTTAAAGAAAATAAATGTTGAAAACAAGTTTGTTTATCCAAAGCCTTTCTATTTCTTTTTTCTTTTTAAAATTCTTTTTAAAATTGTCAATAGATTTGACTGTATGCTGACTACAATGGTCTCACATTACAGAAGTAAAACAATAGTAAAATATATTTACATCATCAAATATCTTTGGTATTTCAAGTGTACAATATTAATAAGTGAAAACTTTATTTTTTATAAAAAATGTCCTGTCCAATTGGCATGGCTTCTTTCAGCATTTTTTTGTTGCTCAAAAATGCCATGGTTCAAACGTTTTAAGAACATTTATACCAAAGTTCACTCAGCCAAAAAGCCATTTCTTCTAATGAAGATGAATAATTCTTACCAGTATTTGTGTGTTCAGACTGATTAGCTAAGAGAATTTAAGGGTATTTTAAAATTACAGTTATTCGTATATTATATGATTCAACTGAAAGGAAATTCTTGAAGCAAGCATAGTGCAAACACTCAGCACAGAAGCATTGTGTCTATTCATCAATCAAAACCCAGTGTGTTATAAGGCACAGTTGACTCTTTATTAAAGACACTTATANAATATGTGTGTTTTAAATATTATTGCTCATTACAGAGTCAATCTGCTAGCAAAAACTGGTGGGTTCTATTGCATTTAACGTAAGCCACCCTGAGCCACTTTGACATACATACAACTATTTCAAGTAAGTAAGTAAGTAAGTAAGTAAGTAAGTAAGTAAGTAAGTAAGTAAGTAAGTAAATAAATATGAACCCTCTCACTAAATAGCAAAGACATAGTGGTAAGTGAAGCATCCAAATGTTTTCTCTTAACACTACCAACATATCAGCAGCCCAACGTTTTTTAAAATAAAATACATGAATTCAATTTTTAGTTAGAGTTTTCATTTCTGATTTTGCGTCAATCTGAATATAGCTAAGAAACAACGGACACTATTTTAACTATTGGAAGTTGTACTTATTCCATGTGGGAAGCTGCAGGGGAGATAAGCCTAACCTAAGCATGTTTACTTTACTACAGACTTTTAAGCAACTTTCTCCTAAGCATTTTGCACAAGATTACAATTTCATACAGCAATCAATATCCTCACTGCAGAAAGTTAAAAAGAAAAGTCAGCATTTATTCAAATGCCCTATAAGTTCTTTACTCCTTATAGTATAAGGCTTATACAATAGTTAAGAATATTTCAAAACTGAGGAGATCCAATATTACAATAAATGAGGATGCATCAGACAACTGAAATCATTCTGTAGGGGGCAGTTCAGTATAATATGAGAAGCAAACAGATTTAGATTTAGAACTTCAGTTTGATTTGAATCGAAACTCAAACAACTGGAGACGCTTCTGTATAATCTACTAGCCAGCACTCAATGCCTAAAAACTGTAGCAATAAAAAATGACCCACTATATTATAATTTATTTAGAATAAGTGTCCACATAAATCTATTTCTATGCAAACAATGTAAAACTGACCGATCAATGTCATCCTTACTCTGAAGTAATCTGCTGCTGAGTTTCACTAAAAAAAGTTCTTAAATGCTAGCAAGAATGTATGAATTTTTTCAAGGTATACATTCCTGTAAGTATGAGAACCACAAAAAAAGGGAAGTTGCAGAAAGAAAGAAAGTCAAATTATATTAATCAATTAGCTTGAAGAGGGAGTTCTTGCAATCTTCAACTACAGATTTCAAACAACCTAGTATTTGTGTCTTTTTTAAAAAAAAATTGTCAGCTGGTCTTTAATCTTCCCCAATCAGGATGAAACATACCCTCTCTTATTACCTTATGGCATTCTCTAGCTTTGTAAACCAATCACAACTTTTCTCACTATCCACTACTAGACTCCTGACTCCAATTTTCTCAAGCATTATGGCCGCATTCTATGACCAGAGTTTTATTTTTAAAACTATACCAGCAAATCACATCCCTCCCGCAATATCATGCACCAGAGAGTGGGAGGAGAATGGGAAGAAATAAGAAAATCTCTTCCTGGTAAATGTAATTCAAAATATACATTTCTGAGACAGAAGCAGTCTTAAATGTGAGCAAAAGTCACAAGCTCTAGATTTAAAGGAGATGTTTGACACAGGCGTTTTCACAGAGATTTCTGTCTTGGCTTCAAAACCAGTTGTCAGCAAAAGCTGGTTTGGGAAGAACAGACTATCCACATATTAAACTTCCTGGCAGTCCAGACTGTTTAGAACCACTTTTAGAACCCTCTCTGATCCTGGGGAAGGATGGTGGTTGCTAACCCTGCAGTTTCAGAAAGTTAACAGAGTACTGCCAAAACTGGGTTTAATCAAAAGAAAAAAAAAACATTGCCCAATAAAGTGGGAGATAGTGTGAAGTTCCTCCATCCTTTCCAGAGCCAAGCTAGAGATGTTAACATATTTTTTTAAATGGACCCAAACTGGTTAGAATAACATCTATGCACTACAATCAGCACTCTTTATTTAAAACCCCAGGAAATGTAAAGATCCAAACCGGACCTCTTAAATGAACGCGACGCTGTTCGTGGTTTAAGCTCTTAAAAATACCCTGGACATTCTTCAAGTCACATCTAAAAGCTTGATTCCTCATCCCAGCCGTGCTTTTAAACCGCACTTGGCCCAAGCACGAAGACTTTTCCTCCCCATTAGCGAAGGCTCAGCTGCTGAGATCGATTTGCTCTCATTCTCCCCCCTCCGCCCCCACTTTTCTTTTCAAGTAGGCTTCCCGACCCCTCAATCCGCCTGCCTGAACCCGGCACCCCAGGATCATCTCAGTCTCTCCTCAGGCGATTGGAAGTGGGCGGCGGGCTTTCCCGTTAAAGCGGCTAGAAATCCCTTTGTTCGCCTTGCAGAAGCCGGGCGGGGGCGGAGGGGAGAAGGAGAAACGGCGCAAAAGGCAGCTTACTCACCGGAGATCTCCGCCTGGGGAACCACGTTCGGGCTGAATCCTTTGGCTCCATAGAGTTGCCGGAGCTCAGAGCAGCTCCTCGCCTTGTTGCCACCTTCACTCCTGGCCGAACAGGTCGCGGCGACACACAGTAGCCAAAATCCCTCCGGGAAGAAACGCATCCTTGCCGCGTGCCCCAATCCCTCACCTAAAAGCAACCTGCAGCCGTCGCGGGGGAAAATAATAATAATAGAGGAGCAGCGTCCCGCCGGTCTCCGCGTGCCGCTCAGTACTCTCTTTTCAAGAGCTCTTGCTGGTGGCGGGGAGGTGATCGCTCAACCCCTCCTTCCGCTGGGCATCCCTCCCTTCGGATGCCTTCCTTTTTCTCCCCCGCTGGCAACAAGCAAACCCTTCAGGAGGAGGCGGCGAACAATACAATCACAGCGCGCAGCGCACAAGGTGGCCAAGTCAGCGGTGGGGGTCAGGCCACTTCCAGACAGGGAAGCGGCGGCCAAGGGGCGCGCTTTCCAAAGCCAAGAGGTGAAAGGTGGGGAGAGGCTGAACTTCGGTAGATAACGCACAACGGCCACTCTCAAAAAGCAGATCCCGGCGAAGGGAATTCGCGTGCCGGCTCCTGAGATCGGCTCCAAAAAGAAATGGAGAAAGAGGGAGGTTGCATAGAAGAAAAAATACCACCAAATGGAGCTTTTGTATACAATGTGTGATTATTATTATTATTATTATTTAAAAATCCTTTGGTTTTTTTTAAAAAAAAGCAGAGTTAAAGGCGAGGTTTCAGATCTTGCCCAGAGTGTGGAGAAATCGAACGATGCTAATAAAGATGGGGAAACGGTTATAAGTCTGGGAGGGAAGTTTGATGGAGAAGAAGCGGCACCAGGCGCTCTTCTCTGGCCGGACTAAGCGCAGGTCTCCCAGATAGGAGTGAGTAGCGCGCGCGCGCGCGCCTGGATGACTCCGCTACACTCCGAGGATGGTGGCGGTGGCGGCGGCGGCGGCACGAAACAGCAGCAGCGGCAGCACCACCAGCAGCAGTACCACCTGCAAACGCAGCCAGAACCAGAAAGAGGCGGCTCCACAACAAGGCAAGGCTTCCCCGCCGGACGTGACATCACACCCAAAGGAGGCCAATCCGAAAAGAGCGTGGCTTTTTTGCCCAGCGATCCCGCCGAAACCCCACCCCCTTTTTCAACTGCACGCGCAGATGTGGGATGCTTTCTCTCCCCACCCTCCCCCACCCCCCAAAAAGACTACTTCTGGCTCCTTTTAGGGATCGCCGTTGCCTAAACCTACTGAACTGAACTGAGATGCGGGACCCGATTTGTCTTTAGCAGTAGTCAGAACGCAGGGCAGCACGGAGAGAGGGAGGGAAGGAAGTGCATTTAATGCACCCCGCGTTCCAGACTTTTACGTGTACACACCCAACGCGCGTTATTGCTGAACAAGTGTCGGTTAGTATCCAGGGACGGAGAGGAGGCAGCCTTTGGACACAATTCAAAGAACGTGGCCAGCATCTGTTTGCTCTCGGTTTTGGCGAGCCAACACGGCGGAGGAGACCTTGCTTTCTTCGGATCTGGACTAAAATCCCCACAGTCCCTTTTGCCATTGACAATGGCGTGGAACTGATAAGATGTTGAAGTCCAAGAAATCTGCGGAAAAGACCCCCTGTTTGCCCGCGTCGAAGTGGATTAGGTGGCCGCCGTGTGCGCTGGAGAGCCACAACTGAACCTTTTAGTCAATGGGTTTAAATAGCGCGGTGCCCGAGTTAAATGATATCCTGGCTGGAATCCCGCCCGCCCCCTCCCACCGCAGCCGACGAGAGCTGCTTTGATCTGCGCTAGTTCCTTTCACGCAGACGAAGGCGGGCGAACCTTTCGCGGTCAGCAGAACAAGCGAAGAGGTGAATAGCGGCGAAGCACTTGCGCTATTGTTTCGCCCTCGCCTCTCCAAGTGCGCTTGATTGACTGGTGGGGGGACTCCAGTCCAGAGCCTCTCGGATTTCGTTTAGGAGCGGCTAAAATGATTAGGATTGACCGAACATACCGCACTTACCAGCCCTGGTTTCCAGAAAGGAACACAATAGCATTTATCAGAAATATCTCTCTTCAATAAGGGACTAAAACTAGGGGTGTCAGGTAGGGAGGGAGGAAAAAAGCATCTCCCCAATTTAAGTATAAAGTAATCGCTCAACGCTTGATCATTTGTCTGAAGTGGTGTAGGGTTTCCTGCCTAAGTAGGGGGTTGGACTAGAAGACCTCCAAAATGACACAGAAGTTGTGTTCAGTAGGTTCTGGCCAGTTCTGGAGAACCAGTAGTGGAAATTTTGAGTAGTTTGGAGAACCTGTAAATACCACCTGTGACTGCCTCCCCATCTATTCTCTGCCTCCTGAGTCCCAGTTGATAGAGAGGAAATGGGGATTTTGCAGTAACCTTCCCTTGCCACACCCACCAAGCCATGTCACACCCACCAAGCCACGCCCACAGAACCAATAGTAAAAAAAAATGAATCCCACCACTGCCAAGGTCCCTTTCAACTCTGTTTCTTTTTCTACTCTTGCTGGATATTAACTATCAGGGTAGAGGACAAGAGCAGGATACCCAGTTTGCGTAAAATAAAAGCTAGTGCAAGTGGTCATAGAATAGGGTTTCTGTTTTATTTTATCCAAAAAGGCTATCAGCAACTGTTAGGAAAAGGGCTTGACATTTATATGGGTAATTAGAAAAGCCAAAATGAAATTATTCACTAAAAGATAATTCTGGGTTATTATTGAAACAGAAGGGGGTACACCTTGTTAAGATAGTTGACAAAAGCCTTTGAGCATAGTGAGGCTTTCTTCCACGAGGAAAACTTCCCAACCTCAAGATAAATTTCTCTGGGCCAGTAGTCATATTCCTCTGTGAAAAGCATCAGTCTAACAGGTTTCCCGTCCCTTCAGGGGGAAAGAAAGAAAGGGACTCACTGTTTCTAGAGGGAAATGCTGAACAATTGCTTTTTGTCTGGCTTTCCAGTGCTGGGATCATTCCGATGAGGAGGCTTTTATTTTGACCAGGCAGTACCACTTTGAGGGCTGAATGCTGCACTTGACCCTTGGCATGCCAGAGATTCAAATGGATGGGACCATGATAAAAACTAAACTTTGATATAATTTAAATCTGTTAAATACTGTTAGGTTATTCCTGTGCATTTAATAGTTCTCAATTTGTATCATACAAAAATTGTGGTAAGGTGGCAGCTCTGAAGAGCGCTTAAGCCTTATCCAATGCCGTATAGTCTCCATTATTGATTGAATTAGAACCGCATTTGAGAATCCTGAAATAAACTTTTCTTCATCCAATGTCTTTTGATTATGCTGGTTGGAAATTAGGAAAGTTATAGTCCCAAATGCTGGGAATATCAGGTTGAAGAAGACTGCCTAAAATAAGGTATTTGACAACCCATTTTTTCCTAAGCCATTATTGCATTCTGAATGATCAGAAACATATTCTTGCTAAATTCTGAAAACACACACATTTCACGTAAAAGTATGGCATTGACATTATTCATTAATCCCTTTCTTTCTTTGTTGTATGGATTTATAGCCACCTTTCACCTAATGTTCAAGGCAAGTACCTTCATTATATTATTTTTTCACACTGTAAAGGGTGTGAAATTTTTTGAGAGCTAATTCTTGGAACATCAACACATTGAACAAAGGATCTGGGTAATCAGTGCTGAAAGAGAAATAACTGCTAATTTGCAGATCAGAATAGCCTGCAATCTTCTATCAGACAAAGTCATTTCTGAAGAAGAAACCTAAAGTAGAAGAGAGAAGACTAAAACAGAACATGAGACAAGTAGTATATAAACAGAAAATAACAAAGGAAAATAAAGCCAGTGATAGAAAGTAAGCATTATTATTCCAGCATAAAGACCGCTGCCTCACAGCAATATGGGTGGCAAACAAAGTAAAAGTTAACTAACTAAATACCACTGTTTGGTCAGTCACCAAGAGAAAGTTCTGTCTTCGGAACAGCTGTTTCGAGTATTAGAATGTTCAAGGGTGGTACAGAATGTTCTTGGTACAAAATAAGAATGTGGGGGGGGGGAGAGGAGGGAACAAAGAAATATCTTTTTTCTGCAATTTTCTATTCCAACTGAAGAACTTTGAATATTTGAAAGGAAGAACAAAAAATATAGAAATATATAAAAAGAAAATCCTGCACCTGTATTGAGGTTTGAGGTTTTATTTTATTTATATGCCGCCCTATTCCCTATAGCGACTCAGGGCGGCGAACAACTCGAATGGGAAAGGGAACATACAAATACAAGACAAGCAGAACATACAAATACAAGACAAGCATTTAAAATAACCAACGACCACACCTGTCGAGAGGGGAAGGGAGCTCATCAACCCCAGGCCTGCNCCAAATTGCAGGCAGCCAGCAGTGAGCAGAAGTAGCCTGCAGTACTGAACTCTAACCACTGTACCACTTTCCCCCTAGATAACACAACTTGTATGTGTCTGTCAAGATCATCTTCCTTGTTCTCTATAAGTCATCTGGCCATTTTTCTTCTGTTGCAACACTATATTTTATGTTTCCATTGAAAGTATAAGAATTTTCTTAAAGTGTTCTTTAACACATGTAAATTGTCACAAATACACTTGATTCAAATAAATATGGTTTACTTCTTTTTAGCGACCATGAGTTTTGTGGATTAATGGATGGTACCAAAAATGAAGGAGATGCACCCTATTACTTCTTATCTCTTTCTCACTAATAGCTACTCGTTGAAACTTATTCTGTTTTTTTTGGCCACAAATTTTCTTTCGGAATTCACCTATTGGCAGGTAGAGACAGGTATCTAAAGAAATCTTCACAATTTCTCAAGGGCTGAATTTTCTTTTGGTAGAGATTACTACAGAACATCGATAGGATTAGTCCCTTTGTGAGGTTTCCCCTTGGAATCTAATAGAAGCTTGGGAAGTTAGAGATTCTTTTGAAGAAAGAAAAAACACAAGGTCCAATTTGGCGAAGTGGTTAAGGTGTGGGACTAGAAATTGGTACACCAGGAACTCAAAAGTGACCGGTTGAATTTGGGCTAGTCACTTTCTCAGTCTAATCCACTTCACAGAGTTAATATTGTGCAGTGCTAAGTATTATGTATGCTGCCTTAAACTGAAAAAAATAAATAAAGTGAAATATAAATCTAATAAATTCACATGTGTCTCTTGTCTGCATTATAAATGACTTAAGTGCAAGATTACATTTCTCTGAGAATTTCACAGAAGTCACTTTCCTTTGAGATAAAGCCAAAATATCTTTTGAACAAACTGAATGAGAAAAGGTAGAAAAATGCAGAATTTCACTCTCTGTCTCTAGTGACTTCCTTCCCAAGTCTACTCCCTTACATGTGGATTTGCACTGGAATTTCCAATATATATCTTCAGGAGTTGACCAGGATTCAGAAGATGTGAATCCCATTCTAAGAGAACTAAAAATAGGTAGGAACAAGTTCTGGAACAGTTGCTAATGTTCAAAGAGTCCAGGAGTATTAATAAGACTTTTGATAAATCAGTAGATATAAAAGATTTCTCTTGGCTGTTATCTCTAGTAGTTGGAATCAATCAAGATACCAAGATCTGTGCATCAGGATGGCAGCATCAGGACCAATCAAGTGTCAGGCTGTACAGCAATATTTTTCAGAATTGGCACGCCGGCTTTGAAATTCTGGGACTTGCAGTCCACACATCTTAAAGTTGCCAAGTTTATAAAACACTGGTGTATGGTGTTCTAGAAGGCAGGTGCTGCAATAGGTAAAACTAACTTTACTTTTGATTTTTTTAAATTCAAATACTGAACGTAATATCTATATGTACATATAAAATATAATTTAATCTACAGGATGCCAAATATTTATTTTTAAAAACCATTTTAACATTGGTTTCCCAAACTCATTCCTTCCAGATGTGCTAGAATTCCATACAGCCAGGATTCCATTAGTCAACCAGAGTGCATACTATAGGTCCATATGATTTATAAGATTTATTTGCACAAGGCTAAATATTTATGTCTTTCTAATTCATTAAATTGAAATGGGTGTTAACATCCAATTTATTCAACTATGGATGAAATCAAAACATGGAGAAATGCAGCTGGTTTAATTTACTAACAGGTTTCCAATTGTTACCTACAGCTTTCAAGCATGGCATC